TTGAGTTTGTTGTATATTTGGGTTTGGTTTTTTTAAATACCTAAATGCCAAACTACACAAAGAAACAGAGTAAGCAATCGGGGGACTGCAGAAATTCTCCCTTAACCACACTGTGTATTTCGGCCACATCCTGACCGATGTTGGCGATACAGCTAGTTTCTAAGTCTTGGATATGAATTCTGATATAAAATTTGGGATCAGTAAATACTAAGTCTTAGGTCCCGTTTGAGTTTGTTGTATATTTGGGGTTGGTTTTTTTAAATACCTAAATGCCAAACTACACAAAGAAATAGAGTAAGCAATCGGGGGACTGCAGAAATTCTCCCTTAATGACACTGTGCATTTCGGCCACCTCCTGACTGATGTTGGGGCAAAACCCATTTGTGCAATAACCTCTGTACGCTCTCAGTTCCACTGGAAGGAAACGTACGCATGAAGGCAAGGAGGGAAGGGGAGGCAAGTAGCCTACCAGTCAACTGGGACAAGTGGGGAGAATGGTGGTTAAACACAGCCTAACAGGGATAGAAATGGAAGGAAAATTGGCTTCTGCATGTTTATAAATCTGGACAAGCTGTACTGGCTGAAATGAGAATGGTGTAATTCAAGACTCCTTATCAAATCTGTCAGTTTGCCACTATTTAATTGATGCTTTGAGCCAGAGTGTACCAGTTGGGTCTGGAGAGGAGACCTGCAAAGAACTCCATCACAAATGAAAGAATCTCTTGGGGACCTGGCCTGGGCACACAGCAGGAGCAGGGGTTGGCCAGCAGAAACAAAGCATCACACCATGGGCCGAAGATTATTGGAAATAAAATAAATGTGTGATCAGCTATTTGGGCTAGCATTCTAGCTAGCACATTAATATATTTTAACTACAAAAAATTACTTTCATCAGAAATACCTTTTTGACCCTTTGCACCCCTTTTCCTGATGAAAAGTTTTGTGAAATAATGAAAAATTTAGTATGTTAAACAATTTGATAAACCTTAAATATACTTCTGTGAATGCAATTAAGTATGAACAGTTTCTCTTCTTCACCCCACCTCAAAGGAATAACTAAAGAAAGCAAGGTTTCACAATGTTTGACTCAACGTGAATATATTAACACACTTTCATTCCTGTGACATCGTATTTTAGCATCACTTTCTCCTAGCTTCCAGAGAAAGCTTAGTTATAATTTACTTGGATAAGGTATCCCACAGATTTAGGTGAAGAAGGCAGCAACATGTTACAAATGAATTCAAAGAGATCTAATCTTGTACCTCTTAGAAGCAATGTGAAGAAGCGCTGCCATGTGAGATGATCTGATTTACCTCATTGCTGTGACTTCTGAAAAATTCATTGTTATTCAGCCAAGGCACCGAAGTTTCTTTTTATTCAGGAATAGTCTTTCCTCTAAAGAAACTTTATGCAAGTTCGTAATGAGTTTATAATGCACTCTTGCCTTCTCTTTTACTGTTTTTCAAGATTTGCTACTTCCGTATGTTTACTTTCATATTTCTTTATACCTGTGATAATTCTTCTGATTTATATTTACATGGAAAACAGTAGCTAAAGCTGTGTGAGAAGATCACTGCATGTATTGTATAGTTGTATACTACTTCCCATAACTACAAATCCTTATGAAGGGTATTTATATGAGAGCAAACAGTTTTGGCCAGGTGAATTTCCAAGTGGATTGTAACTCAGTCACACAACAGTAGGAACACCTGCATCGTTCCTGACAGCAGCCCTTCCTATCCCCAGATGCAAACTGTTTGCTTCAGCCAGGTTCTTTTTGGGGCCGGGGGAGGGACCGAAAAGCTCACAGCAAAACCATGCAGGATGTGGAACAGGTATTGCTACAGTAGTTTACTTGCTGATTACTTGCTAATAGCAGCCCGTGTTCACAAACACTCTAGAGGAGTTGGAGGAATCACCATGCAAGTTTAAACAGACCGTATCAGGCTTTGCTAAACACCTAGTGATATCTCCATAATTACTTCTATCTCTTCTTGGGTTTTGCCACAAAAATATCAGCCCTATTTAAAATTAAATCTCTGCTTATATTTATAAAGCAATGGAAAAAGTGACTATGAAAACATAGAAAGAATAGTTAAAACACATATAGTTTTAGTCACAATAGCTGAAGTCTAGTGACTATGGTAGATTCTGAATTTTCATTTCTAAAGTGCGTGATGCAGGAGTCAACAAGTCAACACTCAGGCTGCACTGAGTGGTTAGAAGCAGCACCAAACAGCCAATGCTGTCACTGGCAGCAAACACATTTCACCTCAAATCTCTGAAGCTAGCTGGCCCCTTAGTACAAGGTGTTTAAAGGTTGCTGGCTTAAGCTAATGATTTTTATTTGCACAGAAATAGGGACAGGGCGAATACCCAATCTACACTCCCAGGGCTGAAAAGCTCTCAGACTGCAGACAGAATGAACTGTATTTTACAGGGCTATTCAATACTTTTCATATTATGGAAGTTCTGAAGTCCTGAGCTAGGATGCCCTGTCCTAGTTGTACAACAAACCAAACAAAAAGATTACTTGTTATCCCAATGTCACTACAATCCAAGAAACAATAACTGGATAGAAACAGGAGGGAACACTGCAAACCTGCTGCTTAGTGCTCTATGCTGTAGCCAAAGATCAAGGGCAGCCCAAATGTTTAAAGAAGGAAACTGAAGTAAGAGGAGATTTAACAAGTTTGTTGCAGAAAATAAGCCAGAGAAGAACATTTGACAAATGAGTGAAAGAGATAGGAGCTGACAAGCTGAGACAGTACTTGACGTCTCTCAGTGACGGGTGGGATAAGTGAAAAGGGTGTTAGAAAAGTAAAGAAACATCGCAGTTTGTGATGCAAGAGAAGTGGGACCTCCTGTAGTGGCATGTCAGTGGAGAGGCAAGTTCAGCAACGCAGATGGGGAGACATTTTACAGTATCTAAGCAGAGGTATCTGTCTGTTTTCAGAGAAAAATCCTAATTTCAAACCACCTTCCTGAGCAGATACCCTGTATCTGAGCATTAGTTGGTTTGCTCCCAATGCTTCTCTCTGTTGAAAAAAGTAACAACGTTGGGCTGTTCCTGAGTTGTCTGGATGGGTAAAAGGTTTCTCCCTTTTAACATCACTCAAGAGCAAAGATTATCTTTATAGCAAAATAAACTTACTGCAAAGTCATTCACTGCTGTTACCTCCTCCTTTAGTTACTAGTATACACGCTTTTATTTACACATTTGTGAGATTTACGAAGCTTCAGAGAGAATGTGTCCCTGAACACTACATATTTACATTTGTAAGGGTTAAAAGCTTGTTAAGAAAACAGGTGCTAATAATAATAATTAGGAAAATTATACCATCTGAGAGGAATTAGCTACTCTGTTTACTGTGGAGGAGACGACAACTGTGGAAAGAGAAAAGCTGAACCAACACTTATACATATTTACAACACTGCATATTACCCTCTCCCCCCCCAAAAAAAAACCCAAAGCAAAACACCCCAGTATGGAACACCAGCAAAGGACAAAAACAAAGCAGAATGAAAATGGAATTTCAGCAACAAGGAGTCAGAAAACACGAGTCACAAGATAAGATAGTGATAGGAGTGGTAACTGCGGATGGGACAAACGCTTTCATTCTATCATCCCTTGGATCTTAGTTTCTTAAGACACACCCTGCTTTTCCTTCTGTTTCTCCTTCCCCACTCCCAGCCCAATTGCCACTGAGGAAAGGGTTAAGTGTTGCAAGATAAACAACCACAGAGTTGACAAGAAATGATAAAGGCAGGAGGATCAGCACTGTCTCAAATCTATTCAATATTCCCTTGTGGGGCCACGATTTCTACCACTGCTTCTATTTGTTACAGAAAAAAATAAATTAAATAAATTAACAGCTACTCAGAGTTCGGTGTTCATCCCGGAAATTCCAAACTGGCTCATTCTAATTCTTCTCCATCTATAAAACCACACCTTTTATAAAGATGTATACAGAAAGCACTTCAAGATCCACTCTCTCACCGTCACCCCAAACAATAAGCCATGTCCGCAGGCCCCACAGGTACCATCTGGAGAGATCTTCTAATTTATTTCCAGAAAATAACATCAGTTTTATATTTCCTACATGGACTCAGAGAATCTCAGATGTGGCTTTTTGTAGATCTATCCAACATGTGCCACCTACGTAACTTTTAAAAGAGATGTTACGCAATCTTAACGTTTATAAATAAAAATATAAACAACTTGGGCATTTTTTCCGCTGGATTGAACATTGCGTTCTGGTGCTGGAAAAGTAACTGTACAGGAGGCACAAATACAACTGCAGCACGGTTAGTGGTCCTCCCTGAGTAATATTCAGCAAAAGAACGCTTAAAAAGTGAGAGCCACGGCGATCACATTTAGACTTGTTCTTCCCATCCTAACATAGGATGGTTGTTAGTAACTTTTACTATTTTTTTTTTCTTAATTTGGTTTGTGGTTTGGTTTTTATTAGTTTAAAAAAAAAAAAGGATAGGTTTGACCCAAATATCCACTCCCATCAGCTGTTAGGCAAGCTGGTAACTCAGTGCTCGTACTCCACGACCCTGGGGGACCGGCGAGACCATACAATCATTTAGGTTGGAAACGACCCTTGGGATCATCGAGTCCAACCATCAGCCCTACTCTACAAAGTTCTGCTCTACACCATATCCCCCAACCCACATCTAAATGACTCTGAAACACCTCCAAGGAGGGTGACTCCACCACCTCCCTGGGCAGCCTATTCGAGGGGACGAGCCTCCCACTAGCGGCCGGTTCCTCTTTCCCCGGGGCTGCCGCCGAGCCGAGCCGAGGGGGTCAACCCGGACTAACGCCCCGACGCGGGAGGCTGAGCCGCGGAGCGGCTCTCCGTTACCGGTCCCCCATCCTCCGGGAGGGGACGGACGTTGCCACAAGCCGGTCCCGGCGGCAGGGAGGCGAGCAGGTGCCGTCGGGTCTCTCGCCCGGTGTCCCCCCCGACCCTCCCCCGGGCTCCTCTCACCTCGGGTCCCTTGCCACGCCGCGAACCACAGGAGGGGGAAGGCGGCACCGAGGCACAGCACCGTCAGGAGCCGGCCGAGCCGGGACCGCATCTCCCGGCGGGGCTCTGCCCGCTCGCCCCCCGCCGCCGCCTCCTCGCCCAGCCGCCGGTTCCCGGGCAACTGCCGGCCGGGCGTGTCCCCGCCGCGCTAACCTGCCCGCCTCCGGGGACCGGGGACGTGCCCTCTCCCGTCACCCCGGCCACCCCGCTTCCCCGCCAGGCAGAGCTAATGATGCCTTCATTTGCATATTGCTTAAGAGCTCGTACCGGGCAGCCAAGCCGTAGCCTACAATTAACACATGCATTCAGCACAGGCAGGTAAAAGAAACTGTTACGGGGACACGGTTCGAGCAGAACCACCCACGTTTTATGACGAAAAAAGCCCTCATTTTCATACCTGATGGGGTGGTTTTCACTTTGACATGTTCCCTACCTGCTCACAAATCTCACCTTCCTTCCCCCCCCACTCCACACCTGCGACAAAGAAAATACGGTTTCCCGTTCTGTTTTGCAAAGATCTAACTTCTGAAATGGTCAGGTGCTAAAAAAGCAGTAACTGACTGCTATCTGTTACCTATTTCCTTGATTTATTACTAGCATGTATAACTCATTTCCTTATTTACCCAAAGGCTATAGTATTTATAAAATTATGTTTGATATTGATACAATATCTATTCCCTCCTGCTATCTATTTGTTTATTTAACAATTGCATCTTGACTTAAACAAAACCCCTAAATCATCTGGAAGGGCATTTTGTCAAGCAAACCAAACACCAGTGTCCAGACACAAGCGTGCTGGAGTCCTACAGTGACTGCTGCCTTCACGTGCCACCCTTCATACTGCCAATGGTGCAACCATCTCCCTTTCTGAAAGTTAATCCTGGGCTCCCCAAATCTACACGGCTGCACTTGCAGAGATAGCGTAACCTTCCCGTGTTTGGATGATGATATGGATGGGTTCGCTTCTCTGTTTGCTAATTACTTTGGATAAATGGGCCAAGGCCAATGGGATGAGGTTCAATAAGATCAAGTTGGTCTTATTGGCCCTCAGGTTGGCCCTTGGGTCACACCAGCCCCACGCGGCGCTACAGGCCGGGAGCAGAGTGGCTGGAGCTGCCTGGCAGAAAAGGACCTGGGGTGTTGGTCGCCTGTGGGCTGAACATGAGCCAGCAGTGTGCCCAGGTGGCCAAGGAGGCCACCAGCATCCTGGCCTGTGTCAGGGACAGTGTGGGGAGTGGGACTCGGGAGGTGATCATCTCCCTGTACTGGGCACTGGTGAGGCCCCACTTCAAGTGCTGTGTCCAGTTTTGGGCCCCTTCCCACAAAAAAGACACTGAGGTGCTGGAGCGGGTCCAGAGAAGGGCAACGGAGCTGGTGAGGGCTCTGGAGAGTAAGTCTTATGAGGAGAGGCTGAGGGAGCTGGGGGTGTTCAGCCTGGAGAAAAGGAGGCTGAGGGGAGACCTTATTGCTCTCGACAACTCCCTGAAAGGAGGGTGTAGAGAGGTGGGGGTTGGTCTCTTCTCCCAAGTCACAGGTGATAAAGACAAGAGGAAATGGCCTCAAGTTGCACCAGGGGAGGTTCAGATTGGATATTAAGAAAAATATCTACACTGAAAGGGTTATCAAGCCTTGGAGTGGGCTGCCCAGGGAAGTGGTTGAGGCACCATCCCTGGAGGTATTTAAAAGACGGGTTGACATAGAGCTTAGTGACATGGTTTAGTGATGGTTTTTTGATCAGGGTTAGGGTGATGGTTGGACTAGATGATCTGAAAGGTCCCTTCCAACCTAGACAATTCTACAATTCTATGAATTATAAATGCTATTATTCATTAATAATGCAGGAGACTGCTAGTAGCCTGTATCAGCATACAAATGGAGAACTAAACACTCCATGACTCCATGAATCACTGTGAAACCTTGAGTTAGACCTCACTATTCCTGATCTGTACTCATCCGCTCTCAACTGCCCTCTTCCTTCTGTTCCGGACTATATCTTTGATATTTTTATGACAAATCTTCTTTAAGGTATACTTTAACTATGTACCTGTAATTGTTCATATTAACCAACGTGATTATGGCTCAATCCTCTTACCCTGGTGCATCCTCATCACCATTTCCCTCTCCAAGTTAACAAACTAAAGGCACTACTTCTAATGGAGGATCAATGTAGATTTTGGCACATTTGCAGTAAAACGGAGCTTTAGACTTAAGAGGAACAAATAAACATTAAATATATCATATGTAATGACTAAAATGCCTTTTAATTGACCGGCTGGTATTTTACCAGTTACAAAGCCAGAGTGAACATATAAATGATGTGGTCAAGCAGGAGGGCTAGTGAAGATAGCAGAAAGCTAACACACCCCTAATTTTAGCTTATTTTCAAAGCCAATAAGAAAAAAAATATTACATATTTCCAGAAACAAACCTACACATTGTACAGGGAACATCTGTGGAGACTGCCACTGAATGCATTACATGTTATTTATTAAGGCTGACACTAAAGCAGATGCAGTTACTCAGCCGTGCCGAGTTGTGGTGATCATTTACTTAATGCTGACTTCTTAGACCAGTGCATTAACTTATGATGAGGTAGTGCATTAACTGATCCTCCAAAAAAAATATAATCAAAACACCTAATCATTGAAAATGTCACAAACTTCCACTGCCTTAGGACCTATTTGCAAATAGGCCCTCTTTCTTGCTTCATGCTCGCCTTATACCTTCCTCCCAGTGCTCTGTCCATATGTCATTTCATATGCTCAAGAACCGTGCACAACTGGAATAAGACGCGCAGGGTTTTTTTGGGAGGTTACATGTTTCAGACCAGTTCTACCTCCCAGCAGCAGACTTTCTGCATTTTTGACAAACTGGTCACCTTTAAAAATACCGTATAGATGTCTTGCCTAAACCATGACAACAGAACACGTGGCTGAGTAATATCCAATACTTGCACTAAGCAAGTCAGTCAGTGGACCAGTTCCATCAAGACAACTTACCTGCAAGAAAGAGTTTCTAGGCGTGTCCTCATGCTTTGTAACCGATTGTCTTTTCTCACCAATTGTCTCACATTTTCCATACTGTTCTCACACATCTGTGTGTACGCAAGAGCAGAGATAAGAAAGACTAAAGTAAATATTTGACAAAATACAGACTCATGGGTGAAGCAAGTAATGGATTATTTTGCATATGGGTTACAGCTGTCCTTCATCCACAAGGGTACATGAACAAATAACTACTAGTAACAATGGGTAATAGTCACTGCCATGGAAAATTTTCTGATTACGTAGATACTACCAACTGATATTGCTGGTTAAAGTCACCTTTTATTTGCCCTGCTGTCACCTAAGAAATGTAATTTTATAAGGTAAACAGTAGGTCATTGTCTTCCCTTCAACCGTCTCTGTGAAGGTAATGCTGGAAGACAACTACTGAAAGCAAAAAGAGGAAGATATAACTTTTTTTTTTAGCTACAGCTTTATATTTTTGACCTGATATAATTTATGAATGGACTGAATGTGATGATACAGAAGGACCTTGCATGATTCAAGTGCTAACATTTGTGTAAAATCAAACATGCTGACAGCTGGATCACTCGGTTCTGTAAAGAAACCAATGAAGCTTTAAGTCAAGTGTTTACACTTACTTGTTATACACCGAAAGAGATGATCAACTTGGGAACCTAAAGAGAAATTAATACAGCTGAAATTACCAAGCTTGCTATAATCACCTTTATCTCCTGCCTTATTTACAGTAAATAAGCTCTATATCTTTTTAATAACAAGTTATAAAAAGCTGTGAAACAACTGTCAAAACCGCATGCTTTAATATTTTAAAATAAATAAATGCAATTGGTTACAGATTTTACTTTAAAATACAGATTTAAGAAAACATTGTATGAGCAAAAAAAAAAGTATAAACTAGATTAAAATTTTCATCTCTTTACACTCTTGTATTTCAGAAGTGCTTTAAAACAAGAACCTTAAAAATTTTCAAGCTTACCTCAAAAAGTCCAATTATAACACAGAGAAGTATTTTGCAATGTACTGTCAACAAGGGAGACATCCAGAGGGACCTGGACAGGCTTGAGAAGTGGACCTATGCAAATCTCAGGAGGTTCAACAAGCCCAAGCGCAGGGCCCTACACCTGAGTGGGGACAACCTCCTGTATCAATACAAATTGGGGGATGAAGGGGTTGAGAGCAGCCCTGAGTAGAAGGACTTGGGAGTACTGGTGGATGAAAAGCTGGACACGAGCTGACAATGTGCACTCACAGCCCAGAAAGCCAACCCTACCTTGGGCTGCATCAAAAGAAGTGTGGCCAGCAGGTCAAGGGAGGTGATTTTGCCCCTCTGCTCTGCTCTGGTGAGACCCCACCTGGAGTAGTGCATCCATCAATGAGGGCCTCAACACAGGAAAGACATGGACCTGTTGGAGAGGGTCCAGAGGAGGGCCACAAAGATGGTCAGAGGGCTGGAGCACCTCTCCTATGAAGACAGGCTGAGAGGGTTGGGGTTGTTCAGCCTGGAGAAGGGTCTGGGTAGATCTTAATATGGTCTTGCCTGTTGCAATAGGACAAGGGATAATGGTTTTAATAAAAAGAGGGTAGATTTAGACTAGGTAGAATGGTGAGACCCCACCTGGAGTAGTGCATCCATCAATGGGGGCCTCAACACAGGAAAGACATGGACCTGTTGGAGAGGGTCCAGAGGAGGGCCACAAAGATGGTCAGAGGGCTGGAGCACCTCTCCTATGAAGACAGGCTGAGAGGGTTGGGGTTGTTCAGCCTGGAGAAGGGTCTGGGTAGATCTTAATATGGTCTTGCCTGTTGCAATAGGACAAGGGATAATGGTTTTAATAAAAAGAGGGTAGATTTAGACTAGGTAGAACGAAGACTTTTTTTTTTTTACACTGAGGGTGGTGAAACACTGGAACAGGTTGGCCACAGAGGTGGTAGATGCCCCATGCCTAGGAACTTTCAAGGTCAGGTTGGACAGGGCTCTGAGCAACCTGATCTCGTTGAAGGTGTCCCTACTTATTGCAGAGGGGCCTGGACTAGCTGACTGTTAAAGGTCCCTCACAACCCAAAGTATTCTATTATATGAAGCTATTTAATCAAAACTTTCACTTTCCGATGTGTCTTTTAATTGAAGCAGTAGGAAGGCTTTATTTTGGTATACAGCAACAACAGTCTCATCAGCTACAAATCTGAGAGTTGCTTGCACAGGCCCACACTTTAAGGATGCACCTGCTGGACTTTCTAAGTTCATGAGCTACCGGAATTACTATCTCAGAGCAATCCATGCGTGGGCATTAAAGATCGGGAGCAAGGACCTGCCCACCCTCCCATTTCTTCACGTTGTTACAACTCCCCCACCTTCCTAACATCAAACTGTAACCACCCTGCTGCTGCTGCTGGAGCCAGGATTCTCCTGGCGACAAGCTTTCAGCCTAGCTGTGTTTAAATACCGCAGCAGCAGTGCTCTGCCAAATCATCAGGTGGGAGGCGTAGCGCAGTATTTTGTTCCTGATCTGGATTATTTGCTCAGAATTGTTTCCCATACAAGCTATGCAGGAGATCTAGTTTACCCAGGTCCTGCCACACAGAAAAATTCTTTCTTTCAATTTCTTTTATCAGTTCTTAGGCACTCTGGCAATATTTCAAGATAGCCAAAGATCAGAAAGTATCTTGGATGGAATTGTATGTAGGTGATGTGACAGAACCACCACGACATCCTGTCACCAATTAATAATACTTTTTAAAAAAGAGCAATATTTTTTAGCTTATTTTTGTCCAGTAGTGCTTCAATGCTTTAGAAGTCAGATTACTCACTTAAGAAGATACACTGAAAAAAAATGACCACCTGCTGTCTCTTAACACACCACATCTCTCCTCACAGTTTTTAAGAGCAGGAATCAGATCTGTAAACAACTGAAGTTCACATGATACCCCCCACAAGAAACTGCACTCCTACGAGTGTAAAAATCCAAAGGGAGGATGCCAAATGTGTTAGTCCATCCTCTGAAATCCCCTGTGAGACACGGGCCACCAGACCTGCTGCGTGGCTTTTGATTCTGTGTAAAAGGTACTTCAATTTCCTCATATTAAAAAGTGTACCAGAATGTGGTCAAGCAAGTCTGTCAGCTCACTTTCAACCCTCCAAATTTTGCATATAATTTAGAGGAATAGGAATTCCTTCTGCTGTCCTCAAAGGAACCGTTCAACTCATGTTTACTGAAACAATCATTAATTATAATACAATGGAAGTACTGACCAGAACTAAATGCAACACTTAGGCTGAACCTCTGTTACGCAACAGCAAAACAGCATCCATGGCAAAGCACTCCTCCTTAAAAGCATTTAGCTTAAGTAAATTCATAACATCTTTCTGATTGGCCCTGCCTTCAGCTATAGCAGAGGCAAACAAGTCCTCAAGCAGTTTTGTAAACACTTAAACAAACACAAGCAATGCCCGACTGCACTTTGTAAGGCATCATGCACAGGGTGCGGGCATTAACCAGTGAGATGGGACAACGATTTTTGGCCCAGGTGTGAGCCTGTGTCAACTCCCTGTTTAATACCAGGGTGAACCCTGAAGTGAGAGTGGCATGTCCCAGCTGGCAAGCGAGGACTGATCACAGAATCAGAGAATGGTTTGGGTTGGAAGGGACCTTAGAGATCATTGAGTTCCAACCCCCTGGCCTGGGCAGGGACACCTCCCACCAGACCAGGTTGCTCAAAGCCCCATCCAGCCTGGCCTTGAAACCTTCCGGGGATGGGGCATCCATCCGTGAGTTCTCTGGGCAACCTGGTCCAGTGTCTCACCACCCTCACAAGAAAGAATTTCTTCCTCACGTCTAACCTCAATCTACCTTCTTTCCATTTAAAACCCCTACCCCTCGTCTGACGGACTAAAAATGTCAGCCGAAGGCCTCCATGCCACCACCTAGGGTGATGCGCCTGCCACCTCAGCCTCCGCCTCCCACACCGGGCTGGCAGCCAAGGCCTCTGGGCTCTTGAGGCAGAAGCTGCTTTACCCGCAGCCAGGCCGCCCGCTGGCCGGGCGCGTTGAGGAGCAGGGCCCCGGGCGCCTCTCCGTCCCCTCTGAGGAGGAGCGCGGGCACTAATGGCCGCCGGGAAGGGGGAAGGTATCTCCCAACGGGCACTTCCGCCCCGCCGTCACTTCCTCGGTGCGGGAAGAGGGGGGGACGACGACGACAGGCGGCTTCCGGCGTGAGGATGCGGGGGGCGGCGGGGCGCCGGTAGCGGGGCGCCGCCACGGTGGGCGCCGGGAGGCTGCGCTGAGCCGCTTGCCGCCCGCAGGTGCCCGCGGCGGGGGCTGGGGTGGTGTGAGGGGGAAAGGGTCGCCTCAGGGCTGGCGCCCAACGGCCGCTCGGCCTCACGCGCAGGGGGTGGCGCCAGCCGTTAACGGCGCGCGAGGGCCGGCGCCGGCCGTTAACAGCGCGCGGCTGAGGGGAGACCTGCTGCGTGGCTTTTGATTCTGTGTAAAAGGTACTTCAATTTCCTCATATTAAAAAGTGTACCAGAATGTGGTCAAGCAAGTCTGTCAGCTCACTTTCAACCCTCCAAATTTTGCATATAATTTAGAGGAATAGGAATTCCTTCTGCTGTCCTCAAAGGAACCGTTCAACTCATGTTTACTGAAACAATCATTAATTATAATACAATGGAAGTACTGACCAGAACTAAATGCAACACTTAGGCTGAACCTCTGTTACGCAACAGCAAAACAGCATCCATGGCAAAGCACTCCTCCTTAAAAGCATTTAGCTTAAGTAAATTCATAACATCTTTCTGATTGGCCCTGCCTTCAGCTATAGCAGAGGCAAACAAGTCCTCAAGCAGTTTTGTAAACACTTAAACAAACACAAGCAATGCCCGACTGCACTTTGTAAGGCATCATGCACAGGGTGCGGGCATTAACCAGTGAGATGGGACAACGATTTTTGGCCCAGGTGTGAGCCTGTGTCAACTCCCTGTTTAATACCAGGGTGAACCCTGAAGTGAGAGTGGCATGTCCCAGCTGGCAAGCGAGGACTGATCACAGAATCAGAGAATGGTTTGGGTTGGAAGGGACCTTAGAGATCATTGAGTTCCAACCCCCTGGCCTGGGCAGGGACACCTCCCACCAGACCAGGTTGCTCAAAGCCCCATCCAGCCTGGCCTTGAACCCCTCCAGGGATGGGGCATCCATCCGTGAGTTCTCTGGGCAACCTGTTCCAGTGTCTCACCACCCTCACAAGAAAGAATTTCTTCCTCACGTCTAACCTCAATCTACCTTCTTTCCATTTAAAACCCCTACCCCTCGTCTGACGGACTAAAAATGTCAGCCGAAGGCCTCCATGCCACCACCTAGGGTGATGCGCCTGCCACCTCAGCCTCCGCCTCCCACACCGGGCTGGCAGCCAAGGCCTCTGGGCTCTTGAGGCAGAAGCTGCTTTACCCGCAGCCAGGCCGCCCGCTGGCCGGGCGCGTTGAGGAGCAGGGCCCCGGGCGCCTCTCCGTCCCCTCTGAGGAGGAGCGCGGGCACTAATGGCCGCCGGGAAGGGGGAAGGTATCTCCCAACGGGCACTTCCGCCCCGCCGTCACTTCCTCGGTGCGGGAAGAGGGGGGGACGACGACGACAGGCGGCTTCCGGCGTGAGGATGCGGGGGGCGGCGGGGCGCCGGTAGCGGGGCGCCGCCACGGTGGGCGCCGGGAGGCTGCGCTGAGCCGCTTGCCGCCCGCAGGTGCCCGCGGCGGGGGCTGGGGGGACGGGGGTACGAGGCCGCCGCCGCCGCGACCGGCGCGCGGCTGAGGGGAGAGCCGGCCTGTGGCGGGCGGTGCTGCCCCCCGCGAAGGGGAGGGTGTTTTGGGAAGGTGGAACCGGGGCTGAGGGGAGGGAAAGGGGACGACGGGGCTGAGGGGGACGGGGGTACGAGGCCGCCGCCGCCGCGACCCTGCTGCTAACGCCGGGGCTTTCCTCCCGCAGAAGATGTTGGTGTACTTGTGGGGGTTCCTGTACAGCAAGTACCTGCGTTTTTGGCTGAAGTGGATCTTGCGGCTGCTGACTCAGAAATGCGAACTGCAGCGCGTCTTTGACGGCTTGAAGGCAGGGGCGCGGCGGACGCTGAGCATAGGTAATGGCAGAATCCCATCCAGTGGTTGGGTCGGAAGGGACCTGCAAGGTGGAATCCGTCGCGGCATCATTTAGGTTGGAAAAGGCCTCTGAGACCATCGGGTGCATTTAGGTTGGAAAAGGCCTCTGAGATCATCGGGTGCCAACCATAAACTTAACACTGCCAAGTCCACCACTAAACCATGTCCCCAAGCGTCACATCTACATGTCTTTTAAATACCACCATCCAGTTCCACCCCCCTGCCCTGGGCAGGGACACCTCCCACCAGAGCAGGTTGCTCAAAGCCCCATCCAGCTTGGCCTTGAACACGTCCAGGGATGGGGCAGCCACAGCTTCTCTGGGCAACCTGTTCCAGTGTCTCATCGCCCTCACAGTAAAGAATTTCTTCCTGATATCTAATCTAAATCTCCCCTCTTCCAGTTTAAAATGGTTACTCCTCATACTACCGCTACACTCCCTGATAAAGACTGCCTCCCCATCTCTCCTGTATTCCCTCTTTAATTACTGGAAGGGCTCTATAAGGTCTCCCCAAGGACTGGTTTAGATCTTTAGAAGCATCGTGAAAAGCACAATTGTTGGAAACCAGAACCTGTCCCAAGTGCAGTAAGCATCCCCTGGATCATGTTTTCACCATTCCATTCTTCCCACCTACTCTGTGAGAACTTTAAATCAGAACATCAGACCTAGTTTCCTTGCCTGCTTCCAGTTAGCTTCAAAAAGTGAATCAGAAAGCTGGTATTTGCCCTCAGAATCTTCCTGTCACATTGTGGATGTTCTTGCCTTCCTGTTATTAAAAAAAGCCACACAAAACAGACATGAATGGATTTTGGGGGGTGTGGTGATGGTGAGGGAGGAAAAGTGATGAAATGCACAGTTCTGCTTGATGCAGAATTTTGATCAAAAATAGTAATTTAAGAAACTACTTCTAGTTTTTGCCATTTTAACAATAACTTGAGGAAGTGATTTAGCTTCCTTGTGCTTCAGTAACAAACACAAAAACATTTCTAAGAATGGAACAAATAGATTTTTGTCTTGACACCTTTTCAAATTTATCGTTGCTTCTGTATTGGTCAATAATCGGTCAATGTTTAAAAAAAATCCAAGTCTATTTTCAGCATTGTACTCGGGGATTATAAAAAAAAAATTAAGACTTTCAGTTGCCTGATACCTGTTGATTTTAAGACTGAGCAACTTTTGATTAATTACTTGAATAAAAGGGTTGCAAAATTTTATAATGTTTACATGCCACCAGAACAGCTGTTGTCAGTTATTTAAAACAATTAATTTTAACTGTGACTTTTTTTTTTGTATTGCAGAACATTCACTGGCATCATCAAAGAATAAGGTAAAAGATACTAGAGATTAAACCGTAATAAAACTTTATTTCAGAGACAGATCCCAGAAAAGAATACGTGCATTTACTTTTTTGAGGGCAGAGGAAAGAAGAGGAATAAAAAGGCAGAGAGAACACCATTTGGGGTTCTGTATGCTGGGTTAGTCAAGGTTTCTCAAAAATAACCCCACATCCCTTCAAGTGTTTGTTTTAATCTCTGAAAGATTACCTGCTCTTTACTGGCAAGTCAATAGCTGTTATACAGAGTTTTTGTTCTTCAAGAGGGTCAGTTCTCCTTGTCACAAAAATCTCCTTTGCTGTTTTTGTAAAAATCAGAGGTGTGATACAGAGAAATGATATGGATAAAGCAACTAAATGCAGCGTATACAGTAATGTCTTGAATTGTTGGAAAAAAAATGTAGTGCAAGTTCACAGGTAGACATTTAACTGACAAGCTCATTCTGATTGTTCTGTAGCAGTTACACATAAGCTAACACTTTAAACCCTGAAATTTGTGTATTTTGAACAAAACTTTTTCATTAGCAGTGAGGGGACTGCATTCTCCCTTTGTCTAGCTGATCACTGCAATGTGATGTTGAGAGAGAATTAGTAACTGCCACAAGCATCTTTGTTGCCACAGTATGGCTGGGTCTTTTAGCATCTCCCAATTAAATGAATATATCAAGTCTACTAACGGTCCATTTTAAAAGAGTTAACCTTCTGTTTTACTGAAATGAAGCTGTTTTGGTATTAGCATAAGTTGTATTAAAGAATGCATTGCGATCATAAAAAGTTGAGAAGACAAAGTTAAAATGTGAAGTGTTTTTAGCTAGGCAGCATTTGTTTCAAATGGATTAGGAAGAACCTGTTTCAATTCAGCATCTGAAAGCAAATGAGAACCTAGACTAAGCAACTCTTGAGCTTTTTGTTTATTCTTTATGGCACTCCTGTTTAAAGATTGCTTGTTTACAGTCTGACAAAGTTACAAGTTAAGCTTTTATGTAATTATTGCAAATGTTTTATATGCAATTTGAGCCCACTTATTGTAAACATTTGCAACAAATTGACTGCTTTTGTATAGTAAAGGATGCATACAAGGCAGGTATACAGAAGCTGAGAAATAACAATAAAGTAAATGATAGATTTCTGCATTCCTTTAAAGGATGCATACAAGGCAGGTATACAGAAACTAAGAAATTAACAATAAAGTAGATGATAGATTTCTGCATTCCTCATGAGGTCTTTTCCTGTGTTAACTTCCTAGGTTTTAAGAAATGCTGTACATGTTGAGGAAGGTGAAGTTGAGAAGTGTGTCAGAGATGTCATGAAAGAAAAGAAAATTGCACAGAAGGATACGGGGTACGTTTAGAAGCCAAACATAAGTTCTTCATGGCAGATTATTTTGACTTCTTGGTGCATTCTTGTGGTTTCTTAATCTGATACAATATTTAGGCCTTTCAGCACGGATCTTTAGAATGAAATTATAAAATAAAGTACGGTTATATCCTTTTCAGTTCAGAAAACAAATTGCAAAGTTTTAAATTTATACAGATTTGGGATAACTGCATCTCTGCCTTGCAGGTCCCTTCTCTCACTCCTTATTTCTAAATAACATGATTATTGCATAGGTTGATTACATGAACTATGTGATTGCCTAAATATATTTGAGAGGGTATAGTGATGCCTGATTAATGTTTACATTCATCTGCATAAGTAATTATAAGTGATTCAGAGGAAAAATTCTGAATAGTCAAAACTTTAATTAAATGCTTCTTTGAAGCTGTAAGTACTTCTGACAGAGTTTCACTTTAAGACTTACAAAAAGCCTGGGGGTAGGTGAAGGTACAGGGTTTGGTATGATATATGGAGTTTTCTTGTGTGATCACAGATTTTAGTTAAGTTATTTTTTATTTCCATAATTTAAGTGAATAAGGCCTGACTCTACAGCACTAGAACCAGCTAGTTTTTTGGGTTTTTTTTCTTTGTTTGGTTGGTTTTTTTAAGTAGAAATAAGATCCATATAACAGTATACTTAACTGATATGCTGTAGTTTGAAAGTTAAACATAAGCACTTCCTAATTTTAGTGTTTTCATTACCTTAACATATGAAAGGTCTTATCTGGTAATTCAAGCAAGAATCTATGGCTAACTACGACTCTTTATAGCTTCTGTGTGTGATGTTTTGTTACTATTTCAGGTTTAAGACAAATCTGCGTATCTCCTTACTGCAGATATCAGGTTATAAAAAACTTTATTTGAATGTGGAAAGTCTGAGGAAGGTCCCGTATGATTCGGATAACAAAGAACACGAGGAACAGTTAATTGAGGTGAAAATAATCTTTTCAATAAAAAAAGCTATTTGTTTGTGGTTTTTTCCCTCCAAGTGCAACAGCTTGAATGAACTTCATTTATGGGTAGTATTCTTACCAGCTGGCCTATTTAAAGCTCTTTTCTACCCGTGAACTGCTAAGCCATTATAGAAGTGACGCATTAAAACACAACATCAAAGCAAAACAAATTAGTAAACTAGAATTGATTGCACTAGGATTACTTGGTGTGAAATCAAACATAACAACATATTAGTAGCAAAATAATTTTGCAATGGGCCACTGAAGAATCATGATAAAAAAAGTAAAAAGATATTTATGCACGTCTAACTTTGTAAACCAATAATTACTAAATAAAAAAGACACTAGTGTTTTCTTATTACTGCATCCCAGTCAATGTCAAAGAGGCAATGTTACATGTATTAATTTTCCTAATTGCTGAAGTAAGCCATTCTAGTATGACTCTGGATTGCTGCTAATGGAAAAGAACAGCGTGCAGATTACATCCTGTTCATTGGTGAATGCTTTCAAAGCAAGTGCTCTGAATTAAGTGACTTGCAGTGCTTTAGCAGCTGTGCATAACGTGGAAGTGTATTTGTGCAGCTTTGGAATTTGCTGATGCCTCATGAGAATCTGAAGGCCAGAATCACCAAGCAGTGGTGTGACATCGGCTTCCAAGGTGATGACCCCAAAACAGACTTCAGAGGAATGGGCCTGCTGGGATTAGTTAATCTGGTGTAAGTGAAAATAAGTATTTAATTTCTCTTTTAATTTTCAATAGAGCATGTGGCTGAGAAATCTCTAATCCTTGCACTAAGCAAGTCAGTCAATAGATGGGTTCCATCAAGGCAGCTTACCTGCAAGAAGGAGTTTCTAGGCGCGTCCTAAAAACTTTTCTGAACTAATTTTCAATATGTATATATTTTCTCTAGCTAGTGCTAGTTCTAATAAAGACTGAATAGAAGCAAACAGAAACGATGACTTCTGTACAGTGCAAAGTCGGTATAATAAAGACTGAATAGAAGCAAACAGAAACTATGACTTCTGTACAGTGCAAAAATCAATGTTTTCTAAATAAGTCAACATTTCTAGCAGCTGCTCGTCTGTGTGTGGTTGGGTAGAGGCCAACAAGAGAGGAGAAGAATAGAACTAAATAAGTCAACATTTCTAGCAGCTGCTCATCTGTAAGTGTGTGGCTGGGTAGAAGCCAACAAGAGAGGAGAAGAATAGAGAGTTGCCCAAGACACCTTATTTTTTTGTTGTCATATTATAGATTTGATAGGTTATAACTTGAAAAGTAACTCGTCAGAAGCTTTCAAAATTCCTGAATTAATTACTGTAATGAAAAATAAACAGGTTTGTGTAACTTTGCTAAGGTAATTGTGGACTTGGCAGAACTTTATACTTGATGTTCAGCTCACAATTATTTATTCTTTTACTATATTAATTCATGCTGAATATAATTTAATTTGCTACCTTTTCCGTGGTCTTAATTTTGTGGCATTTTCAGTACAGAGCAGTATTCTTAATTCATGCTGAATATAATTTAATTTGCTGCCTTTTCCGTGGTCTTCATTTTGCAGCATTTTTCAGTACAGAGCAATATCTAGCTTTAGTTTAAAGATACACATTTTGATGTTGATTACGTGATATTATTTTTTTTTGTATGAACTTCCAAAAAAATAATGGAAGATCCTGTTTTACACTGGCAGGTATTTTAGTAAGCATTACACCAACGAAGCTCGTCAGATCCTCTCTCGTTCAAATCACCCAAAGCTGGGGTAAGTCACTATATGACTTTTTCTAGCTTGTTCTGTGTAAAAGCTTATGTGAAGACTGCCAACTACGTGTGCTGAATATAAAGAGAGAAATATTTGTGGGGTTTTTTTCCCATTAAAGGATGAAAAAAGGGCCAGAGTAGAAAGGTGTGAGAAACTGAACACAGAAATCAATTTCAGGCTGGGAGCTATATGCAGCTGTTTTTTCTTTTCAGAATAGACTTGCTGGAACAAAAATAATGCAAAATATTGGCTTTGGTTAACACAGTGAACATCTTTAGCATTATTGTTTTATTTGTAGTAGGCTTAGATTAGATTTAGAAGGTAAAACTTATTTTTCTCCCTCTTACTGATCCTGTGTTGGTGTGGTATAGATTATCTTTTAAGATCACTTTTTTTTTTTTGCTAGCTTTCTGCTCTGTAGTTAAATATATACAAATGGTTGTTTTTCCTGTGTTGGTGTGGTATAGATTATCTTTTAAGATCCCTTTTTTTTTTGCTAGGTTTCTGCTCTCTAGTTAAGTATATACAAATGGATGTTTCGTTGTTCAGCTTCAACTTCATTTTTGAAAACTTTGCATATTCTAAGACTTAGCTCATTTTACAGGGAAATACACTCTAAAAGCAGTCAGATACACAGGTTTAACAGCTTTCTTCTGTATACCATCTGATCCATCTAATCCCCAGATAACTCAATCTCCCACCAAGAATGGGAAGCTTTCATGGCTTCAACTGTAAATAATACTACCTTGTGCAACTAGGTCATGAATAAGATACCAGAGACATTTAGATCAATTAAATACCCATATTATTGACAAAAATGATTTTTTTCTTTTCCCCTTCCCCCAGAAACACTTGTTTTAGCACCACAATAGAAATTCTTAAAGGACTGTTTACTATGCTACAGAAAAACAGGGGTTTTTTCAGCTCAAAGAACAGGTTTAAGTGACCATTCTATTTATACTCTAACAATATTTTTTGATGTCTGATTTTTAATATTCCAGCAGATTTAACAACATCAGATGAGCAAATCGAGGTCCATGTTGATTAGCCTTGCCATCCCATTATTTGCCATACTATTTGTATAGGAAACTAGCGTTTTTAAATAACTTTTACGTGGTTGGATACACCAAGGAATGGAAAAAGCTGTTGGCCAGGGTCAGCTTGTCAACAAGTACAATAGCAAAAATTTACTCTGAGGGTTATCCTAATGCAGCCTGTTTCAGGGAAGCTTCTAAGTCCCTCCATACACAAGGTAAAACGTGCCCTGTGATTGGTGTTGCAGATATTCTTACGCAATAGTTGGAATCAATCTGACAGAGATGGCATACAGCTTACTTAAGAACGGTGCTTTAAAGTCTCATCTGTACAACATGGTCTCTGGATCACCGCAGATGGAACACTTCCATCAGTTTTACTGTAAGTATCTGTAGCTTCTTTGGTACAGACCACCGGCGGGAAGCCTACAACGTAGAGTTTAGGTGGTTTTGGAGTAAGTTTCTACTCTTTTCTCATTAGCCAGAGCAAGCTGTTTATCTTCTGGATCGAGTATTGGAAATGCACCTGATGCTTAAACATTGTGCTGCAGAAATGAACGTTTAAGGGATAAATTTGGGTGGCTTTCTGTATATTAGAGACTGCAGTCTGAAAACTCAGTAGATTTATTTTTTTTTTATTCCTTATTACAGTGTCCAAAAGCTTGCTCTTGACCAGGATGGGACACTCCCTATTTTAAGGGATTGAGTAGAGTCTAAAGGATCATTCTATTTCTAGCTAGATCAAGGCAGATTATTATGGAGGTCATTTTTGCCAATGAGTATTTTATTTTCTTTGCAGGTTATTTGGTTTATGAGTTTGACAAGTTCTGGTTTGAAGAAGAACCAGAAAGCATTATGCACTTCAACCAGTACAGAGAGAAATTCCATGAAAAAATTAAGAGACTTCTGCTGCGTTGTGATGTGATACTAACCTTGCAAAATAAAAAGAACCCTTAACTCCTCTGCAGTCTATGAGGTTCTGCATCAAAAATGGAATCATGCATTTGGATGGAAGTTTTGCATGTTTCACCAAAAACTGTTTAACGATAGAACTTTTTCTTTTTTTTTTTTTTTACATTTTTTTAAAAAATAATCAAAATTCAGTTAAGAAAGCTTGGACAATCAACCTCTGTTTACAGGTCTTTATATGCTATTCTCCAAAGGACAGCTTTTAAAAAAAAACAACAAACCAACAAAACAAACAAAAACCAACCAACAAACCAACACAAAAAACAACCCACAAATCTCAAGAGCCTCTGGATCACTTGCTTTCACAATTTCTTTTATACCTCTTGGTGCAGGAACATGAAGCAGGTATTTATGCTGCATCGTGTTTTCCATGAATACGTTTAACTGTTAATTGTCTTTTAAAAAACCTCTTTTAGTTGAAATTACTCTGGTTTTAGACTTTTTGTGTTCTTGTTCTGTACGTGTAGTTGATTGCTCAGTCTATGTTGAAGTTCTCTGTGATGAAGAGGCCCATGAAAGGCATGTATTAGTTGCTTGTGATTTTGGAGAAGAGGCTTAATCTGTCAACACACTAACATACTTACTAGAAGCTACTTCTAGCTAAGGAAATTTTTTTATCTATGGATTTGTACCAGCAAATTTCTATGCTTGGAAAAAACTCAGTTTGCTAACAAACAAAAAGAACCAGAAATCATCAGTGTGAGGATCAGATCCTCAGACTAAAGCTACTCCTTCTAAAAAATATTTCTACTGTAAAAGTCTTCATATATTTCTAATCTGACCTCAGCTGCTTGACTTAGATACTGTATCTGTTATCAGCTCTGTCTTTTAGCAGCTAATGGGGTATTCTCAGTAGGAAGTACAAGAGAGTTAGCTTAGCCCTTTGGTAAAGTTCACTCATTAAAAACTATCTTTGCAGCTGCAGTCCCTATTTTGTGAAAATAAATTCACACCTGAGTACAAGTCTCTAACAAAGATGTATTTTCCACAGAAGGGATGCAACTGTGACACATTCCTTAATCTTGGCATCCTCAGACAATCTAGTCAATAGGACTTCATATCTATATTGTGACTAATTATTGCTTAAAGCAACTTTAAACAGATTTGGTATGACCATCACTTCTTTTTTCTAAAATCTACTATTAAATAAGTGCCTTCTGCTTTATTCAATCAGTTTTTTATTTTGATTCTGTAACCAGATCATAGCCTTAGAAGCTTGAGTTACTTGGGAAAGGTTCTTTCAGTATATACCTAAATAGCACACAGTGGCACAAAATTTGTACACTAACAGAAGCTTTCATGCCTCTTTTTTTTTTTTTTTTTTCTTTAAAATCATCTCAGGTAAATTAGTTAACTTCTGGACCTGATGTCCCTGAGCCTCAAGCACCTCAGGATACCATTTAGGTTTCCCTCTTGGTAGAGGGAAGGGGGGGGATTGTTGCTCTGTTTTAACTGTTACTATGAGAGTGTGGGAGCAACTTCCTGGAGAGTAGAAATATTAAACATGAGAAGAAAAAAAAAAAAACAAACACAACCCCCTTTTTGTAATGAGTGAGGTTACACTACATAAGTATTAAATGTATTATTACAGTATGTAATACTACATCTCCTTGGAGATAATCAAAACCCAACTGGACATAGTCCTAAGCAGCCTGCTTTAGGTGACCCTGCCTTGGGCAGGGGGTTGGACTAGTTGATCCCCAGAGGTGCCTTCCCACCTCGGTAATTCTGTGAGTCTGTATTGTGTAATTAGTGACTTCTTGCACTGCATCCACCCAATTCCTCTTGATCCCTTAAATGTTGGTGATCTCGTATTTGTGAGAAAGCTCCTGATCAGGGTAGACAGTATATATGTAGGAGGTAGCAGACTTGTGTTTTCTCTTTAGGTATAGATGAGAGTTAAACATTTCTTAAGTTTAACACGTGCAGGGTGGAGAAGGGTTTGTCTCATCTGTGTGGGGTTGATGCTAATCTCCTAAAAACAAAGCAATGTGAAGATGTTTTAGGGAGTATTTACGGTTATGCTGTGGCTTGTGAGCTGAACAGCTGAACTGACTAAACTGGACAAAAAACTGACCACAGGAAGCCTAGTTCTTTTGCTACTCCCAGGTCCTGTAATTCTCACCAGTGAGAAAGCTGAGATGCTGTAGAGAATGTTCTGAGATGCAGGTCCTGCAGCAGGGTTCCGTTTCTCTGACCCTTGTAGATACTGGACATTACTAAAATCTGAGGAAGGAAGTGGAAAGCATACTCTTTCCCAGCGGCTGAGAGGTTTTCTGTTACTTTCTAGCCCCAGCTTCTGTCATTTCCATCTTCCTTCATCAATAATTTTTGCTATTGCTTATAGATCTCCTTTGCAAGCAACAGGAGACTGGGTTATTTGAATTTCAGAAGTGACCCTAATGTGTTTAGCAGCAGGAGGAAAGGAGATCCCATTCTTTATTTTCATCTGCTGCTCGCTAGCAAGTAACAAAATTGTTTGAGCCACCTCTTTAGAACACTCCCCTGGGCTAGAGTCTGCAGCTCATTAGCAGCTTGATTAGTTTTTTTTTTTAAAAAGAAATAATCAAGGTGTGAGCTGGGAGCAAACTGTGGCAGTGTATAAGGGAAAAAAGTAAACCCAGCCTTCATCAGATGAGTGAGATATAAGGGAACACATTAGTTTGCATGTAGTAATTAATTAAGGTGGATGTTTACATTAGGCTCCAATACCCCCTCCTAGTAAACAGAATTTGCATGTAGTTTTGTATGATCAAGTAGCCCAGTCCTTCTGTCGAGGAGTCACTCACTCTATGTAGACTAGTACTGGGTGTCCCTGTTTTGCACCAGCCGTAGGGTAATTGTATTATGGTAGTAGCTAGAAAATATATGGGAAAAGGTAAATTTGTGTTTTGGGAAGGGAAGAAGTGTGTTTTACTAGTCAGCGGTATTTCATAGGAACTCTGTTGTAGGGTGACAGCCCTGAGGCTATGGAAGAGTCAAAATGGAGGTAGGGCACCTTTCTGCAAGTTGATACGATCAATTTGTTTACCATCAGAATTTGTTGCTCGTGGTGTATTCCAAGAGTTTTAAAACCTTGGTAAATTCTCTTGTTGTTATTTATTAACTGTCATTTTTAAAGTATGTATTACTGGAATTTGCAGGTACTGTTAGTTTTCTAACTTGCTGCCTCTTTAAAGCTTTCACTGAGTGAAAGCTTACATGCAATAGTAATTTTAGAAAAAATCTGAAGACAACAAGGTGGTTCTCTAAATTTGTTGTTGTTCATGTAGCAACTGTTTAACAAACTACCTCCACTTTTGTTGTTTAGTATATGCTTGAAACACGGTACCACTACATGAACAAATTAATCTAAATAGAAGTTTACCACAAGCAAAAGTAAAATTCTAGTCTTTCAATAAGTAAACACGTTGCTTCTTAAGTAACCAACTTGATTGGAAAGCGATTTGAAGAGAGTGCTGCTTAGGAAGGACGATTTTAAACTGGTTGTGCTTCTGTCATCTGATACAGCAGTGTAAAGAACAGGGCATTTTCTCCTAAAGGACAACAGGAAAAGGGGCCAATTTAAGCACCTCAGATAAATAGTTTGGGATTTTCACTCTTTGAAAAGCAAAACAAAACAAAAAAAGGCAAACAAAAAATTAATTTTACACACAAATCCCCAAGCATTCATTTTCCAGATTTTCTATCCTCGTTTAAATAACAAACATTTAAAAAAAAAAAAAAAAGTTGCTTAGCCTTGTTTTAAGAATTACCGTGATGAAAAAGTTTGTATTTAGTTAGGTGGGAGTTCAGCAGCCAGTATTCTTGAAAATACTGCTAGTGAACGCGTAGTAAAGACGTAACCTGGTGTTTCTTTCTGTCACACTTGTTTTGTGTTGCTGTAGTGCAATGGTGATCGACCTTTGGACCGATGTTTCGTGTGTCAGTCTATATATTGTCTTTCTCTAGGGAAGAAAAAAAACCAGCCCACAACAGCTTGGGGGCAGTTTCTTCTTACCACACTGTGCTTAGGTAGCTGCATACTAATAGAAATTTCTGTTTACCACAATATAAAAGCAATAATGTAAACTGTGATGTCTGTGTAGTGGAAAGAGATGTTTACAATGGTAGCAAATAAACGAGTTATTCCAAAATACTGTCAATATCAGTGTTATGTCTGCTAGAAAACATAATTTCCAGTTGACTAAGCCCTCAGTTAATCCATGGGCACTGTGATACAAGAAAAAGCTTTATCCTAGCCTCTTTTTTTTTTAGTTTTGGGGTGGAGTTTTTTTGGTTAAGTGTTTTTCCCCCTCAGAGAGGGAGAAGCTCAGAGAACTTGTTTAGAGGTCCCTATGATTCCTGGGCTTGCAGTTTGTGCCTGGGAAAGGCAGTACTAGGAAATAAGGCTGTAGCAGGGAGGGTTGAAATGGTCAGTGGCAGAACAGCTGTGTGTATGGAAGCTGAACTGGAACAACACAACAACAGCTGGAACAAAGGCTGGCCGGCTCACATGCCTTTTTAGTTTTGAAATCATGTGTACCTCAAGTCAAACACCAGAAGACAGGAATAAGATTTAAATCTGAGCAAAGTCCCTGCTGCTGTGTATTGTGCAGACCACAGGCTTCTCAGCCATCCTCTCACTCGGGTCCACACCTGACCTGAAAGGGGGTGGCATCCCTTTTCTCAAATTCTTTTGGTCCATACTACAGAAATTAGACCTGACTTCCTTGATCTATAGCACCTATGACTCGGGTCCACACCTGACCTGAAAGGGGGTGACATCCCTTTTCTCAAATTCTTTCGGTCCATACTACAGAAAGTAGAACTGACTTCCTTGATCTATAGCAACTACGAAAGCAGATTGGGTTGGAAGGAGGCAGAGAGCAGTTCTGCTGAGTTCCTTTAGCGCTACGGGGCTCTCTTCAGCGCTGGACTGGAATTTTGATGATGGAACTAAGAGAGTATTACCTGGGTAGGCTGCCACACTGCTGTGAGCAGTAGAGATTGATTACTGCTTTATCTCAGTTAGTCTTGAAATCTTCACTTTAAAAGAAGCTCTGTTTTAAGCTTTAAAAAAAACCACCCCACCAAAAACCAAGAAATCAAACCCAACAGGCCAGGAGATCAGGCTGAGCTCACCTACCAACCCCTCGCTGTTCCTCAGCCTTTCCTCATTTTTTTCCAGATGTTTTAGTCTAAGCCCAACTAGTCCATTTTTTCTTACAGAAATGGATACAACAGCATCAAGTATTTTTTTATAGTAAAAAGGCATCTTCTGGCTACATTGTACCTTGTTATTACTGAATTACCAACAACTGGAACAGACAAGAGATAATGGTTAAGTCACTCAGAGATGCCAGAAGTTTGGAGGGTAACAGCACAGGAACTCATCAACGTGTGCCCAGCCCAGACTGGTGGGGACCTGACAATTCAAACTCTTCCCGACAGTTTCACGTTGGTTTCCATATCGCACCTACTGTTGAGAAACCCAATCACCACAGTTTCAAAATGCTGCTGCAAGATTAATAACAAACACCCCGTGACAGGAGAGATCCAAAAACTCGGAGAGCACCCAGCTGAGGAACCAGACCCGGCTGCACAGCTTTCCCAGCAGAACCACCAGCTCTTTGCTTGACCAACTGCTTTGAAACCCTTTCATTTCTCTCCCACAGCCCCCTTAAATACCACAGCACAGACCATACCAGCTCCTGACACCTTCATTTATGGCACAACACCTGACATCCTATCACAGAAGTTCAAACATCACCAAATAAGAACCACTAAGGTGTTTTTACAGTTTTGATGTCAAATTTTCAGTAGGTTTAACACATCACATAAGGAGCTTTCTGTCTGCTTGCCCAGCACTCATGTAACACAAACCTTCACCAGTCTCAAAGACACAACCCTCGGCTCTAACGCCGAGCAAGCAGGAGCTGTGAGATGTTGCACTGAAGGAAACAAGCACCATTGAACATTCATATGCTATCAGCATCTGAGCAACTTGAAAGACAGATTGGAAAAAGAAAAGCTTGAGAACAATGTTTCTTTATAGCTTTTTTTAACTAAACTCTGCAGTTCACAGGTTAAGGAGACCCTGTCTCAAATCACACAAAGCACAAGATACTTCTAAAGCCCTACTGACTTGCTTGTGTAGCATAACTACATATACAGGTAAGACTTCAAAAATATTCACTCACGTTTTCTTGAAGGTCCCACATCACCGTCTGCTGGTCAGTTGAACTCTTCTGCAGCTCTCCTCCCACCAGCTCCCAGCCAGCTACTGAAGAACAGGTCACAGCAGATCTTGTCATCCAGGTGGCCATCAGCTGTGGCCCTAATCAGGTGAGCAGCCTCACCCAAAAAATCCAGAGAAAATCATCTCACCTGGCTGCTACCTGCAGCAAAGCCATTCTTAAAGGTGACCTGGCTTTAGTGACAGGATCAGGAAGGTAAGGAAGGCTACTGGAGCAAACCCAAAAGAAGCTGCCTTGTAGAATGGCTCCTGTTGCCCCAGAGTCCCACTTGTGGGTGTCTCTTCTCCTTACGGGGGCTGTAACAGCAAAACAACTGTGGGTGGGCGAAAGCAAAGCTGGCAAACCCTTTTAAGATCAAAAATACTTTTTCATGGGTGGCCTGTGCGTTTCTAGGGCTTGTGGAAGATTGCCCATAGGCTTACATGCACTTTGCCAGGACAGACACTGAAAAGAAAAACAATTTAGGGATCTGCAAACTTGAAAAGGTCAACAGTCTGCTTAAGGATGTTAACCCTTAGTGCTGAAGACTTCTGTGAGAATCAGCTGCCAGGCATTACAATAAAGCCCTCTGCTCTGGCCTTGGCATCTTAAGTTAAAACAAAGTCACATTCTTCAAAACGGTGATTACAGCTTCAAAAGAGTATCATTACTTGACACACATTAACTCATCTACACAGTCTGATATGCAGAAAGACTATATTGCCTTTTCATACTGCTGTATGTACTCTATATATGGCTCAATTATAAAGGAGAGAATTCTACTCCCAACAGAAGGAAAAAATATCAAGAGTAAACCGACTGAGACAAGGGAGAGATGAGCACTGCTCAGAAATTAACAGCTGTGTTTTGCAAATTAACTTTACATACACACAGAAATAGATGGTTAAGTTTCAAAACTGCAGTTCACTGAACAGAGCCCATCCAGTGCTGTTCTGCCCCTGCCACGGTTCTTGAGGCTGATCACCTCAGCTCACCAGGACCCTGCAGAAAACATTCTACTGTATAAAGCCTTAAGAGCACGCCCAGCAGATGGGTCACAAAATACCTGGGGGGTCTTAAAAAGCAGTAACAACTGCTGTCAGCAAATATGAGCAGGGAAAACTGCTGACTGGAACGGGGTAGTGCGAGAGAAGCCTGCATGGGGTTGCTTGTTGCAGATTGGATTATACAAATTCAAGTGTTAAACAAAACCAGGCACGGAAACAACAAACACTTTTGTTCTGAAACCTGGTGTTGAAGATCCGAAGTCATTTGTCTTGTGTAACAAACCGCCATCACCTGCTTTTCCCTCTAGCGTGATTTTAATAGTTAAAAATCAAATATGTGCAGAGTGTACTTTATTTGTTCACATTACCTATTTGTGGTTAAACACCACTTCATCTGACAGTTTAAAAGCATTCTTTTAAAACAAAAGAATTCAACATAGCTTCTGCTAAAAAATCTGCAAGTTACATGGATGCAATATACAGGAGTATAAAAAAATCAACAGTATTCTACAGAAAACATTTTCAAAATAGCAAATAAAGATTAGGCATGTAGGCATGATCCTGAACTGAACAAATATGAATTAAAAAACAGCTAACAAAATTTAAAAAAAACCAATCCTGAATATCTGTACAAAAGAAGCAAGGATTCAAAGTGCAGGTGCTCCAGTTTTCATTTTAACATATTATTCAGTAAGTTGATACAGGATACTATTCATTTTATATAAAGTGACAGTGTTCTCAGTAAGACTTAAACATTCAGTTACATTATCTTGCAGATTTTTCTCATTACTGCTACTTTACACTGTTGTAAATGAAGACTTACGCAATACAGGTTTTTATTTTCTTAATCTAACAAGAATATAATAGGTTGGTGGTAAAGGTTAGTTTGAAGAGCTAAGCTATATATGCTGTAGATCCAGCCTTAAAAGTATCTATATATATATATTTATTTTTTTAACTTTTAAAAACAGTTTTCAGTTTTTAAAAAGAGACTCTACCAATCTGTTCTGGGACCTGCATACCCTACCTTTGGAGCACACCAGCAAAGCTTCCAAGCCCACTGGTTAGGAATAGAGCTCCAGGCAGGGTCACGCTGGAGATCTTTGCGTGGTGGCCACAGCTGGGAAAGGGCTTTCTCTCAGCTGGGTTTGGTGCTGCCAGTGGCCACCGAACCCAGGGAAAAGGCAAATGGGCTCTGCCTTTCATCGGAGCAGAAACCATCACATTTCACCACGTTTGCCTAATGTGCCAGCCAGGCTTGGGATGGACTTCTCACTGTTATTTGAGCGTACCAGGCTCAAGCAGAGGAAGTTAGGAGCCAGGCAGGGGTCACTGAAGTGATCTTTCATACATTTAAAAAAAAAATAAAAAATTGAAGCAGACGTTAAAACCCATTATCCTCTTTGAAAAAAGATAAAAATGTTATATGAACTCAAATTGCCCTTCAGGGATGTTGCCTGGAACTTAATTCCACCTACAGTCCTATTCAGGTTGACAGTGTCCCTTTAAATTTTAGGTACTTCTTGTTTTGTTCATTTTTTGCCCCCCAAGAATCAGATCTCTACATAATGTCTATTTTAAAAATGCACATAAATATTGGCATTAAGTTTACGATTAGAAATTAAGAACTAATCTTTACCATTTCATATTGACAGCAAGGTTAATAATACACACACTTCACTGACAACTGTTATTTTTTTTTTCTGTATTTTGAATAAAATTTGCATTTGTGTAACATTTCCCACAGAAAGAGTGATTATACTTCAAGATAGTTAAGTCTGCACCCCAACATTTTCACATTAGTGAAAACAATCATGGTTTGAAAATACCAGGGCCTGTGCCAGGTACTAATAAATACAGAATAATAATAAAAAAAAAAAATTCCTGTGCCAGGTACTAATAAATACAGAATAAAATAAA